AATTTTTATGAGGTGGACCCAAAAGAAAGTGGGTGGCCATGGTCACATGACTTAATCACATAATGACCCCTCCCACATCCATAAGTAGGGGCATTGTGACTGATCCATGCCAGGAGAAATTTTCTTATTCTAACAAATAAAATATCACCACAGCCACGTACAGTAGCAGTAGTATTGCTCATCGTTTATTAGGGTTCTCACGTGTCCTTACACCACTGCTGAAGTGGAATTGACAAATTAAGATTCTCATATTAAAAGGCATTTATCCATAAGTTGTGCAGGCACTGGAGCAGTTTTCTTTCACAGTTGTATAGAAGAACTTTGTTTATAGAGGTAGACAAAGGTAAAATATTGAATATATATATAGATATGCTACATAAGCTTGCTGCATGGCTCAATGGAATATACTGTATAATGATATTCACCAACAAAAGCTTGACATGGTAAGTCAGAAATAAAGTACAGTATAGATAAACTTAACTGGTAACTCTTCAAAATGCATATATACATTTATTTTGCATTAGTTCTGTAATATTAAAAATGTATTTTGTGACATGGTTCTAAAATTTGAAAGCCAGTAGCTGAGAACAGTATATATTTAATAGTATTTAAGCTGGGTCATTAGATGTATTACCTCAGCATTGGGCATTTTTTTATAATAGGATTATGAACCATTCCAAACTGAATAGAAATACAGATAAAATGAGCAGTAAATAAGATGATGACTTTTAAGTTTTGAATTTGCACTGCTCAAAACCACATACAACTGGGTGAACAAAGTGTCTCATTTTGCCAAAATCCTTGTACAAAATGATTATTAACCCTTTGACTTTCGCAAGCCCCTTTCTGAAACTGTCATTTTATGTCACAAAATTTTTGGAAAAAAAAAAATCTGAAATGATAGAGAATCTTTTCCCGATGGTAATACGAAATTTGGTCGAAAACTCACGGAATTATGCTCCACGAAGTTAGCGATCTCGGCGACATATATGCATCGGCAATTTTGCCGAATATGAGCCCCGTTTTTGGCTGATTTCGTTGTTCCAGTTGACCAAACTCATAGCTATTTCTTTAGAACTTCGTTTTGTCTATCAATTGAGTACAAGAAACTGCCCATTTACTTATTTAAACTACCCAATAAAGCGGTCAGAAATTGGCAATTTGGCCAATTTCACACAAAATAAAAAAGGTGCCAGTTTCAAAATAGGATCCAGAATAAACAATGTACACATTCTTGGCACAAAAATAGCTTATCCTCTGTTCATTAGTCACGTCTCTAGGTCCCTCTTATATTACTCTTGCTTTCTGTTTTGATTTTTTATTCATACAAAAAATACTAAATTTACTGTTATGCAGACTACTGCATTATTGTAAAAATGGTATAAATAATATCAATGCACTAGTGAAAGAATATTGGACTCCCCAGTTGACGTGTATTGGACGTGTGGTGTGATTTGCTTACTCTTGAACATTGGTAAAAATTGAACATTTCTGCTACTTTGAGCTCAATTTCAAGGTCGTTTTCATCGTGAAACTAATCAAAATCATCTCTATTTCTGAAATGTTTTCCATTTTGTCAAGCGAGACCATGAAAACGAGAATACAACAATAAATACATGTACTATACGAAAACACACCTCAAATTCGGCGTTTTAATCCAAAAAGTCTTTTTTTTCTCGTGCACTGCTTGCTGCAGGATTTTTTTTTTGTGGTGCACAGTGGCTACACAGACCCATTCTCTCACATGTGGGTCTATCAGCTTTCTCCTGTTTGATTTGAAGCCGCTAGAATTATTGAGTATATACACGTCCGAAATGCTGGCTCGTAAGATGTATATATGCGACCAAAACAGTCAAAGGGTTAAAAAAAAAACCTTCCTTAAAACTAGTAATTTACACTATATATGTGGTACTCCATGAAACATGGATGGAGGAAGTAATCTATGCATAAATTAAATCGAAAGAAACCCAAAGTATTTCTTTTCTTATGCCAAATCTAAGTCGAGAACAACATCCAGTATTGGGCCCCTACTTAAACAAGATGGGTCCTACACAGATGACAGCAAGGAAATGAGTGAGCTACTCAAGTCCCAGTATGACTCGGTTTTTAGCAAGCCATTAACCAGACTGAGAGTTGAAGATCAAAATGAATTTTTTTATGAGAGCCACAGAATTTGGTAAACACAAGCTTGTCTGATGTTATCATGACCCCAAATGACTTTGAACAGGCGATAAGTGACATGCCCATGCACTCTGCCCCAGGGCCAGACTCGTGGAACTCAGTGTTCACCAAGAACTGCAAGAAGCCCCTATCACGAGTTTTTACCATCCTAGGGAGAGGGAGCATGGACATGGGGGTCGTCCCACAGTTACTAAAAACAACAGACATAGCCCCACTCCACAAAGGGGGCACTAAAGCAATAGCAAAGAACTACAGACCAATAGCACTAACATCCCATATCATAAAAATCTTTGAAAGAGTCCTAAGAAGCAAGATTGCCACCCATCTAAATACCCATCAATTACACAACCCAGGGCAACATGGGTTTATAGCAGGTCGCTCATGTCTGTCCCAACTACTGGATCACTACGACAAGGTCCTAGATGCACTAGAAAAAAAATGCAGATATAATATATACAGACTTTGAAAGTTAAGACACTTGTGCAACATCTGCTTATCTTTATTATAAACGTTTCGCCATCCAGTGGCTTTATCAATACAAATTCTTGGACATAATTAGAAAACAGAAGAACTATATACAAAAGATGAGGTAATCAGTCCCTCAGCCTTGGAGGTGGTGTTTACAACATCTTGTCGGTATTGTATACCTGTCTTGCACAACATATACAGACTTTGCAAAAGCCTTGGACAAGTGTGACCATGGCATAATAGAGCACAAAATGCGTGCTAAAGGAATAACAGGAAAAGTTGGTAGATGGATCTACAATTTCCTCACTAACAGAACACAAAGTGTAGTAGTCAACAGAGTAAAGTCTGAGGCAGCTATGGTGAAAAGCTCTGTTCCACAAGGCACAATACTCGCTCCCATCTTGTTTCTCATCCTCATATCTGACATAGACAAGGATGTCAGCCACAGCACCATGTCTTCCTTTGCAGATGACACCCGAATCTGCATGATAGTGTCTTCCATTGCAGACACTGCAAGGCTCCAGGCAGACATCAACCAAATCTTTCAATGGGCTGCAGAAAACAATATGAAGTTCAATGATGAGAAATTTCAATTACTCCGATATGGTAAACATGAGGAAATTAAAACTTAATCAGAGTACAAAACAAATTCCAGCCACAAAATAGAGCGAAAAACCATTGTCAAAGACCTGGGAGTGATCATGTCGGAGGATCTCACCTTCAAGGACCATAACATTGTATCATTTGCATCTGCTAGAAAAATGACAGGATGGGTAATGAGAACCTTCAAAACTAGGGATGCCAAGCCCATGATGACACTGTTCAGGTTGCTTGTTCTAGCTAGGCTGGAATATTCCTGCACACTAACAGCACCTTTCAAGGCAGGTGAAATTGCTGACCTAGAAAATGTACAGAGAATCTTCATGGGATGCATAACGGAGATAAAACACCTCAATTACTGGGAGCGCTTGAAGTTCCTGAACCTGTACTCCCTGGAACGCAGGCGGGAGAGATGCACAATTATATACACCTGGAAAATCCTAGAGGGACTAGTATCGAACTTGCACACGAAATTCACTCACAACGAAAGCAAAAAACTCGGCAGATGATGCAACATCCCCCCAATGAAAAGCAGGGGTGTCACTAGCATGTTGTTACAAAAAACGCGATTCTAAAAGCTTAGAGATCTCCAGTGAATACTAGAAAGGACTGCCCTTCTAGCATCCAGCCTGTTACTGGGTTTTCGTAACAAGTAGTCAGTATCCTTGTCCAATTATCCATTAGAATTCAGTATTATTCAATAGTGCTTCAGGATTACAACTGGTAGGCTACTAACTAGAGAAATCAAAATTTAATAAATTTATTAAGTCTAGAGGTATATTATCAAAGTAAATTAAATTAAATTAATCACAGTAATCAAAATAATATTAATCACTTCTCTCGAGTTCAATATTATTGTGCTGAAAGCACATATCACATTTATAATTCTTAAGTACCGTCTGGTACATTAACATTTAATAAGATATTACAAATATGTACAAGTAAGTGTGTATGCGTGTAAGTGCTCTAAGTAGTTCACTATGTCTCACGACTCGACTAGACTTAAACAAGTGACTGACAAAGTCCTCACATAAACTAACTTCTTGACCGACTGGCAACCAGAACAGTCTGCTTGAACAATGAAAAGAATGCTAAGCCCAATAGCCATATAACAAGCGACTGCGACACAATCAGGATCAAGGAGATAATATAACGACACTAAGTAGGGACCATCAGCAGATCCTCCACAAAAGTTACAAAACTCCCATACTACTGAATCTAAGTTCAGCATAGGAAAAACCCTGACTGTGACAATACACAGAAACCAGTACAAAATTAGGTCAGAAGCTATAGCTAAGGACCTGAGATGTTCAGAGTGTCTAAGCGACACACAACCTCAGTACAACGTCGAAAATCACTAAGTCTATACAATGTTCTGTGAACAGAGTTCTACAGAACTAACAAGAATAATGAGACAGACAATCTGTCCAACCACCAAGCGAGTCTCGAGCAGACTGTATACTTCACGAGAGGTGAGGACACCCCCCCTCGATCACGTGATAGCCCCGTGGACAGCACAGCTCAGAAGCCGGCAGTATAACGAGCGACAAGCGATAATTACAGTAGTTTGACAATCAAGACATGAACTGAGCACATATTATGTACATCCTAACAACATAAGTCAAATAAGAATATAAAGCAATATATTCATGATTTAGCTATTATCGCAAATATAAGCAATATAAAATTATATGAAAAGATAATATACATTATATATATATACATAATCATTGTAACCCATTCAGGGGTTGCAACACATGTTAAGAGACAGTACAATAAGTGTCAGGGGTCCGAGACTATTCGACTGCCTCCCAGCATACATAAGGGGGATTACCAATAGACCCCTGGCTGTCTTCAAGCAGGCACTGGACAAGCACTTAAGTCGGTACCTGACCAGCCGGGCTGTGGCTCGTACATTGGATTGCGTGCAGCCAGCAGTAACAGCCTGGTTGATCAGGTTCTGGTCCACCATGAGGCCTGGTCACAGACCAGGCCACGGGGGCGTTGACCCCCAGAACTCTCTCCAGATAAAGTCCAGGTAAACAGTATTCCTCCTGCAATTTTTGTTATGAATCATGTGAATTCCAAGAAGTCTTGTATGTTAGTTTTTTTTTTTCCCTGTCTTACTCTTAGGACAAATAAACTTATTAAGAATATCACTGTATCATCATGGCTGAAAAAATTTACAACCTACCTATAAACTGAAAATGAAAATTGGGTAAAGTTTACCAGTTCTGAACCATTATAAAGCCATGATAAAGAGAAAATGGAGGAAAGTTAAAAATTCAGTCATTAGAAAGTGAAGAGACAAAGTCAGACCAAGTTAAACATGTTCCAAAGACTAAAGTATTTATTAGTCCAGGGAGAGGCAAGTATGGGGAAGCAAAATCTTATTGTATCCCATCAAGATTAGGATGTCTGTGGTGAAGTCATGATTTTACATTTGCAGTTCTGTTTAGTTACCAGGTTTGGAAAGAAATAATTTATATTTTCAACTTAAAGCAAAAGGAATACCTGCCTCGGTGGGAGACGGCCGACTTGTTGAAAAAAAAAAAAAAAAAAAAAAAAAATGAAGATTCAGGAAATTAGGCAAACTACATAGTGTAGTTGTATATATTTAAGCATATACCTCTCCAATGTACCTGGGGAGGGTTTTGGGGGTCACCGCCCCATGGCCCAGTCTGTGACCAGGCCTCGTGGTGGATCAGGGTCTGATCAACCAGGCTGTTACTGCTTGCCGTGCACAAACTGACATACAAACCATAGCCAGCTGGTCAGGTACTGACTTTAGGTGCCTGTTCAGTGCCTTCTTGAAGACAGCTAGGGGTCTCTTGGTAATCCCCCTTATATATGCTGGGAGGCATTGAACAATCTTGGGCCCCTGACACTTACCTGGAGTTTACCTGGAGAGAGTTCCGGGGGTCAACGCCCCCGTGGCCCGGTCTGTGACCAGGCCTCCTGGTGGATCAGAGCCTGATCAACCAGGCTGTTACTGCTGGCTGCACGCAAACCAACGTACGAGCCACAGCCCGGCTGATCAGGAACCGACTTTAGGTGCTTGTCCAGTGCCAGCTTGAAGACTGCCAGGGGTCTGTTGGTAATCCCCTTTATGTATGCTGGGAGGCAGTTGAACAGTCTCGGGCCCCTGACACTTATTGTATGGTCTCTTAACGTGCTAGTGACGCCCCTGCTTTTCATTGGGGGGATGTTGCATCGTCTGCCAAGTCTTTTGCTTTCGTAGTGAGTGATTTTCGTGTGCAAGTTCGGTACTAGTCCCTCTAGGATTTTCCAGGTGTATATAATCATGTATCTCTCCCACCTGCGTTCCAGGAAATACAGGTTCAGGAACTTATTGTGTTGTCTCTGTGTACTTGTGACACCATTGCTTTTCATTGGGGGAATTTTGCATCTACTGCCATGAATTGACTTAACTGAATATTTCAGACATTGCTAAGATCTTATGAATTCATTCTCACACTATCTCAGTAACCACCTTTCAAGCATGGAAGGAAAAAAATTGTTCCGAGTTAATATGCATTTAGTCGAATGACCTGTGGTGTTGTAGCCAGCCTGTGAGGTTGACCACTGTTTTCACCATCATCTGGTCAAGCCCACGGGTACACTTGGGTTACATTGCCTTGTTAAAAAGCTGTGTTAAATACAGTAATAGTCATTGATAACAGGTGAATCAATAAAGGGAATTATTTTTTAATTACTGGAAGCTTAGCACAAGAAGTGTGTGGTAGTGTTCTTTACATATATAAATGGCAATTAGATAGATGGTACTATTTCTTTAGTCATGTAACACACAGTATATATAAAATATGCTGGATTATGAAAAAAGCTAAATCTGGTTGCTTATGGATATACAGGTAAGTAAATATGCATTAGATACAAATTTGCTAAGAACTTTGATACTAAAATTTTTCATTCATTGTATAAGCTAATTATTTATTCTGACTAGAATGCATGAAGTTCTTACAAAAACTTTTTTACAGATTTTGAATGCAATATATTACCTTAATTTTTTCACTTTTTAAAAGTTGTTTAATTAGCAAAGCATTATGGCTTTACAATAGTTCTACCTAGAATATTTATTCTTACATACGAATAATATATTTTTTGCATGCTTTAAAATCATTATTAGCATTTATTACATTTTTGCACCTTTGTACTTTTGCCAACTGATCAGAGTATGTAAAACCTCCTCCCTGCAAATGCTGCACTGAAGTATTCTTTGATGCAGTATACCTTTCCTTCTCACAATTTCTTCCACCTAACAATTGCAGTCCACCAGCAGAAGGAATTTGCTTAATATTAGCATTACCTCCTCAGATGAGCTTCAGTGACCTACACCGGTCAAGCTCTAAGGATATTGACGGTTTTCAGGAAGTGAGCTTCGATCCACAAGCCAAAGATGCTCATGGAGAACCTAATGGGGGACCTAAAGGGAAGCACTGGCAGGTGAGAGACTATACATTATGTTCCCGGTAAGTCTAGGTGCCGGAGCAAATTCTGCGTATCTTGATGGGTACGAAAGCAAAACAGTCTGATATAGAAAGTCAGCTACAGTTTGACAGTTATGTATGAGAACGCCATTGTGAGGGTTAGAATTGTGTGCTTTTCAGTAATTTGCAATAGTTTTTTAATACTAAGAATGGGATGCACATATTGCACCAATGCAACAGAGATATGAGGGAGTATATTTGTCTTGCTTAATATGATGGGAACTAATCATTAGAATATTCCAGAGTGTCTCTCAGTAGCTGAAAATATATTGGTCTAGGTAATTCAAACTCAGTGGTGCAAAAAAGTGACCAGCTGGTATGATACTGTAACAAAAATAAATAAAAGTATTTAAGGTTAAAGAACATGTATCTAGTTCTAAAAGTGTTCCAAAATAAGAGTAGTAAAAGTAGATACCTTAAGATAACTAATACATTTCCTTTGAAGAAGGAAAAGCATTGTCTTTGTTGATCTGGGCAATGATTGCCCTCCAGTGTATGGGTTATCTCACTTTTGATCATATTACAGCTTTAAGTGCTTCAAAATTTAGCTTTCCATTCAATAACTAGAAAAAACTCGACGTTCCTACACATTATCCATCGTAAAACCATCAATAGCAAATAAACTCGCTAAGCAGTTTCCTTATGGTCACCAACCAAACCTTCCACCTTGAGTAGAGACTCAAGATGTCGATTGTTGAAGGGATAACAATGAATAGTGATTGGTCATTGAACTTGCAGCAATTTTTTTTTGTCCAGGTAAGTTATTGTATTTCTTATGAATTTCACTGGCTCTTCAGAATCATTAAAAACTGACCCAGAGAATGGAGAAGCTGCAGGATGGATCTCACAAGTGACAATTAGGATTTAACCCCCAGAGAAGTGGAACAGAATTCTTCCTCCATAAGCCATGCGTGTCGTAAGAGGCGACTAACATGCGGGGAGCAAGGGGCTAGTAACCACTTCTCCAGTATACATTACTAAAGTTAAATTGGAGAAACTTTTGTTTTTCTTTTGAGCCACCCTGCGTCAGTGGGATACGGCCGGTTTGTTGAAAGAAGAAATGCAGGAGTACAGGCTCTGGGGACAGGCTGCAATTCTCCCAGAAAGAGAAAGTTCAGGGTGAGCATATCACTGAGCACATTACTTGAGGCGAGCATCAAGTGATTAATCTCTGCAGCAAACATTCATTTGACAAATGAAAGGTGAGCTTTTAGGAACTTGACAAGGAGTCATTCATGACACATGTACAGCATATCATGTCCATCTTTGAGTCAGTGGCACCAGTATGAAACCCATACCTGATACGGTAGGTCAAGAAGATGCTGAAAGTGCAAAGGTTTGTATCAAGACTAGAGGACAGGAACCAAGGTAACATAATGACATACAAAATACAGTACTGATAGTGGACAGGGACAGTCTTGGGGATTTTCAGATATACATGCATATTTCTTTAACCTCAGAGTGGTCAAGAAGTGGAAATACCTATATGGTAAAGTGGGAAAGGCATGATCTATACATACCTTTAAGAATAGGTATGAAGGATTCATAAAACTAGGAGAGGGGGACCCACTAATAGCCATTGGAGAGATGGGGGCCAGTAGCTGAAATTCAACCCCTGAAACCACGTAAATAAGGGTACATATAGGCATGTGTGAGCAAAGTAACATTTATGAAAGGGTTCAGGGAAACCGGCAGGCCGGACTTGAGTCCTGGAGATGGGAAGTACAGTGCCTGCACTCTGAAGGAGGGGTGTTATGTTGCAGTTTAAAAACTGTAGTGTAAAGCACCCTTCTGGCAAGACAGTGATGGAGTGAATGATGGTGAAAGTTTTTCTTTTTCGGGCCACCCTGCCTTGGTGGGATTCGGCCAGTGTGATAATAAAATAATAATATAGGCATGTACAAAAATAGGGTTTTGAGGCATTCTGGCCATTTGATGGTCAAGAGGCAGACTCGGGAAATGAAGCTTGATGTCTTCCACACAGTTTTCCTATCTTGTACAGTTAAACAAGTCCAGGTATACCCAGGTATCCAGGTAAGTACACGTGCATGACTATTAAGCAGAATAAGATATAAATAGTTTTTGTTGGTGATTATCTCCATATTTTAATTAAAATAAAATGTCATGCTGTAAAAAAAATTGGTACTGGAACATCTTTAGCACTGTCTCATTAATTCAGCTTGTCTTTGTTCCTCATTTAACATTAATGTGCCATCAACCTTCCCCTTTTCCTTCCCTGCCTTTCAGGCCTGACCCGTAATACTAGCAGAAGAATTAAAATAGGGCTGAGAAGTTCTTGAGCTGCATTATGCAGCTCAAGAACTAATGCACTGCAAACTTTAATTAAAAAAGGGCATTGAGTTAAAATATACCAGTATAGTAGTTATGTAATTTTTATTAGATTATTGACTAGAATTTTCTCACTGACTACTAGACTTAAGTCTGAAATTTTGCATTTGATATTCAAAACAAGGTAATGCACCAAAACAGTTAATAAATATTAATCCCTTATGACCATTTTAATTGTCTAAAATAACAGCATAAATTCTGAATCAGCATACATATGCAGACAAGAAGGTGTTTGTGATAATCATGGGAAGTACTTCTGCTGTTAAAACTACTGTCACTTTTGTAAACTGCTATATTATTTATTACACCAAAATGTGTACAGTACATTGCAGACTGCAGTAAATTCAAAGTATAATTTGATACTGGGCCCTTAGGTTCTACAATCTTAGTGAAAAAAAAAAAAAAGATTTTAGCCAAGTTTTTTTTTCTTCAGGCTGTGAGGAACTCTAAGGAAAAAAAGAAGAGTCAAAACAAGAAATCTGGAACTTCTGATGAAGTATTGTACTTTTTTTAATTTCATTTTTAGTTTACTGATGCAGTAACCATGCTTTTAATATGCTTCAGAGCTGCTTCATTCATAGAAAGGGACAAGCTAATGATCGTGCCTAACTTTCTGTGTATGGGAATAGATTGTGGAATGCTGCTGAGAGTGCAATTACTATTAGATGCAGGCATAAGTAGCATAATCCAAAATAAGTGTCCCGTGAAAGTCCTTGTACTTCATGTTTAAAGTTTGAGAAAGAGAACCATGGCAACTGAGAACAATGACAGGAACCTAGTGTTGATGCATTCATTGAGATAGCTACTGAAAATCTAACCCTGATTTTAGATTTTTGTAAAAAAAGTGATTACATATAAACTTTTTTTTATAGCTGATATATCATCATTTTAATTGGTTAACTCTTCAAAGGGCCTCAAAATAAACTAGTTTTTTATTGAATGATTAATTTTTTTAATTTTGTATATACTAGTGGGCAGTCACAGTAGTAGATATAGTAGGGGATAGTTTTGGAGTGGTTGGTGCTATTATTTAATAAATGTATGGAAGAGGGTAAGGTACCTAGGGATTTGCAGAGAGCATGCATAGTTCCTTTGTATAAAGGCACTGTGACCCCATACTGCCATTCAAACACGTTTTCATTCACTTTCCAAAACGCAGATGTGATTTATACAGATTTTGCAAAGGCATTTGACAAATGCGATCATGGAGTGGTAGCACACAAAATGAAGGCCATGGGCATTATGGGGAAGGTAGGCAGATGGATTTTGTGTTTCCTAACACACACAGCACAGAAAGTAGTAGTAGTGAACAGGGCAAGATCCAGCATCAGCGAGATCAAAAGCTCGGTGCCCCAAGCACTGTCCTGGCACCTCTGCTGTTTCTCATCCTCATAGCGGACAGACAAAAGCACCCAGCACACTTTTGTATCATTTGCAAATGACACTAAAATCAGCATGAAAGTCACAATGGTAGAGGACACTGAAAAAGTACTGGAAGACATAAACAGTTTTCCATTGGGCAGTGGAGAACATGATGATGTTCAATGGTGATGAGTTCCAGCTGCTTAGGTATGGAAAGAATGAAGAACTCAAAGGAACACTATATACAGAACTTGAGAAGGTCACCAAATAGAACACAAGGAACACTTAAAAGTCCTGGGAATAATCATGTCAGTGGACCTTTCTTTTAAAGACCATAACAGGACAAAGATCACGACAGCCAGGAAGATGACGGGGTGGGTATTGAGAACTTTCAAAACAAGGGAAATAATGCCGATGGTGACACTTCAAATTGCTAGTGCTCCCTCACTTAGAATATTGCTCAATGCTGATGGCCCCGTTCAAAGCAGGAGAAATATCGGAACTGGAACAAATACAGGGATTGTTTATGGCTCACATTGAGCCTGTAAAGCACCTAAACTACTGGGAACGCCTGCAAGTCTTGAACATGTATTCATTGGAGCGGAGGAGAGAGAGATGCATGATAATATATACCTGGAAAATACTCGAGGGCTTGGTCCCAAATCTGCACACTGCCATAATAACGTACTGGAGTGAGAGATATGGGAGGAAGTGTAAAATAAACCCAGTGAGGAGCAGGGGTGCGGCGGAGACAATAAGGGAACACTATCAACATCCGGGGTCCCAGACTATTCAACATCTTACCAGAAGATATCAGAAACATGGCTGGAACAAGTGTAAAAGTCTTCAAGAGGAAACTGGACAAGTATCTTCACTGGGTGCCAGATCAACCAGGCTGTGATGGATATGTAGGACAGCGGGCCTCCAACAGCAATAGCCTGGTTGACCAGGCAAGCACCAGACGAGCCTAGCCCATGGCCAGGCTCTGAGAGTAGATACTCTCTCGAAACTCTTCAAAGGTATATCAGGGTGTGATGAGGCTTTAAAGTGCTGGATAAACATGTCACAAACTTGCATTATTATGGTCATCATCTAGGACATCTAGGCACAAAAATTTTGTTTCTTCCCACCAATATGAAGTCACTAGTGAAAGTTGGTTTATTATATTAACCATAACTGTAGGATTAACAAGCAGAAATTAAAATATAACCATCTATATTTACTAACTCATTGCCATAATTACTTTTTTATTGTATCTACACTTGCTCCAATTAATGAAATTAATTATATAATATAATTACATGCTTACTTGAGTCTTAGCTTTAGAGTTCCAGCTTCTGGCTTCTTCGGTAGATTTGAAGACAATGCATGGCAAAGATGCAAAACATGTTTACATTAAGTCCCTTTGAATGGTGCATGATTTCATTGTCATCATTTTAAATACTGGTCACCCCTGTTTAATGACACTAATTCTTCTCACCAAAACTGGTATTAATTTTATGCTAATCTAGTTGAGTTTCTCCATAGACTTGTTTAATCAGAGATGTGTACATGCAAAACAAATTTGGTATATTTCTTATTTTAAAATCATATTATTGATGTGTTGTATATATGACAGTTGTGTATGAGTAATTAACATAATACTTACCTTGAACCTTCCCTGAACCCCCTCGATTCCTTCCCAATACTCAGTTATCATTTTTCCTGGTAGGATAACTATGTAAAATGTTTTAGTCTATCTTTTAACTTTCTCACCAATATAATCTCTAGTATTCTTTGAATGTTAATTTCTTATTGAATTTCAGTTTTAAAACCATTAGTCATATTTTCTGCTAACCATTAGCCATGCAAAATTTAAATTTATTATAAAATATTTTGAAAAATGCTTGATGGATTAATCAGGTAACAGAAACGTATGATTTTAGGCTGGCTCTTCTAAAAAATTTAAGCTTTAGTCATTGGAATGGTACTTCAGTAAATGCTGCTGCATAAATTTATAATGTAAAATTTACCATTGAATGCTTAATTTGTGAAGGTTTGATTTTTTCTCCATCTCCAGACCCCTCTTTTTCCCCACTTTATTTTTAATTTAAATTTTAATGAGATCAGAACAATATCCAAGGAAATAAGTCCACTTGAACTATAGTAGCAAATTGAAGCTATGGTCCTCTTCCTTGAAACAAACTTAATTACCACCTATTTCCTAGCCACTGTATGATCCCCTAATGGTTTAACGCTCTCCCAGGACTATAATGCTAATGTCAGTCATGGGAGAGCACAGATCTCGGCTATGTTTGTGCACACTGCTACACCATTTGACATAGAGGGCAAACTGTGTGTTTTCTAATGTATCTTTTTTATATTACAAATTTAATTTGACCAAACTGACATTCAGTGGGGGTGACTACTTTGATTATCAAGCATTATAGTACTGTAGTCTTACACAGCTTTAATTTGCTGGATAAAACAATGGTTTTGGCATCTTTTATAGAATGCCAGTACTGTAATTGTGTACAAATCTTGTGCTAAATTTTGTATATTAGCATTTTGCTTATTTAACTAATGTATTATGTGAGGAAGAACCTTGCCATTACTCTTTGCCGAGGAAATTGTACGTTTGTTGTAGCTTATATTGCATAGTATTTTTTGTCTTTTAGTTTCATAGGATTACAGAATTACTTTTTTTTACTTAGACGGTGAAGAAGGATATTCCAAATGTGCTGAACAAGACTCAGAGTTGGAGTGCTGTTGTTAGCTATGTGGATACTATCACTGGAGGGGTTAAAGATGATGAGGACCCAAGATTCAAGAGGACAGAAATTATAGCCAAGGAACCTGCAGACTGTTTTCCCAAACAGTTTTTTAACAAGTGAGATTTCAGAGATTCATTAAGCTTTACTATAATAAATGAATTCCATTTTGTTTTGTGTGTAGAATTGTGCTTATCAATTAGCCCTTCATAAATAACTTGATTACATTAGACCTTTTAAATGTGCTTTTGAAATAAAATTGTTTATTACTATCAGTTATTTTTTTTTATAATTTAAATTCAGTACATTAATATTCTAGTTTTTAACAATTATTATTTTCATGAAATATGGTTATGTATTTTCCCTTGCGAAATCCTATATAGTTTGCAGGATTTTAATTTATAGAATTCAGTTATCACACATTTTTACCAATGGATGCCCCTCAAGAGAGGTACATTGATGCTAGTGAGAGAATTGTGATACAAGTAATTGGACCAGGTTTTTCCTTGTTTGCACTGAACTTATTGCCTCCCATTATCCAAGCCTCATTTTTGGGGGCTTGATGTTCAACTCCTAAATTGAAAACCAACCATAAGAGTTCAAAATACTCATTGGCTTTCACTTTCTTAAATTTTTCTCCTTTTTTTTTAATCATATTTTCTTATAAATATTGTTTTATTAGTGAGATTTAAGCTGATAAGTCCTCTGAAGCTAAATCCTGAAACAAACTTTATTATACAGATGTAATGTTGAATTACTGGTAGTCTAGATTCTAAATGAATAAAAGCCCTTGAATTTAGGGTGCTATCTCTATAGAAAAACATGCATACCTGGAAGGTGTTCTGGGAGTCAATGCCCCTGCGGCCTGATCCGTGCATGGTGTTGCGGTAAATAGTAGTGTTGTATACGTAGTTCTCCTTTGTTTGGGCAAAAATAAATTAAAAGTGAGCGAAATAAATTAAGTGGTGTGGGGGTGTGTTCATTTGTTCTCTTATTCAGGTTTGATATTATTCATTTTGTTATTTCTGTCAAATAAAGGCTAAATATTTAATATTGTTTGTATAGTAATTTAAGAAAAAAAATCATTCATATTGACACTGATAAGTTTTCAGTTATTTACACTATTATTTTTAATATAAATATGTTGAAAGTGAACATAGAAAAGAGTAAGGTGATGAGGGTATCAAATGATTTAGATAAAGAAAAATTGGATATCAAATTGGGGAGGAGGAGTATGGAAGAAGTGAATGTTTTCAGATACTTGGGAGTTGACGTGTCGGCGGATGGATTTATGAAGGATGAGGTTAATCATAGAATTGATGAGGGAAAAATAGTGAGTGTTGCGTTGAGGTATATGTGGAGTCAAAAAACGTTATCTATGGAGGCAAAGAAGGGAATGTATGAAAGTATAGTAGTACCAACACTTATATGGATGTGAAGCTTGGGTGGTAAATGCAGCAGCGAGGAGACGGTTGGAGGCAGTGGAGATGTCCTGTCTAAGGGCAATGTGTGGTGTAAATATTATGCAGAAAATTTGGAGTGTGGAAATTAGGAGAAGGTGTGGAGTTAATAAAAGCATTAGTCAGAGGGCAGAAGAGGGGTTGTTGAGGTGGTTTGGTCATTTAGAGAGAATGGATCAAAGTAGAATGACATGGAAAGCATATAAATCTATAGGGGAAGGAAGGAGGGGTAGGGGTCATCCTCGAAAGAGGGGGTAAAGGAGGTTTTGTGGGCGAGGGGCTTGGACTTCCAGCAAGCGTGCATGAGCATGTTAGATAGGAGTGAATGGAGACGAATGATACTTGGGACCTGACGATCTGTTGGAGTGTGAGCAGGGTAATATTTAGTGAAGGGATTCAGGGAAACCGGTTATTTTCATATAGTCGGACTTGAGTCCTGGAAATAGGAAGTACAATGCCTGCACTTTAAAGGAGGGGTTTTGGGATATTGGCAGTTTGGAGGGATATGTTGTGTATTTTTATACGTATATGCTTCTAAACTGTTGTATTCTGAGCACCTCCGCAAAAGCAGTGATAATGTGTGAGTGTGGTGAAAGTGTTGAATGATGATGAAAGTATTTTCTTTTTGGGGATTTTCTTTCTGTTTTGGGTCACCCTGCCTCGGTGGGAGACGGCCGACTTGTTGGGAAAAAAAAAAAAAAAAAAAAATTGTTCTCCTATGCCAGCATTGCTGGCTTCATGTGGTCAGTTGTTTCTTGAAAGTGTTGCTGGCTAACATTGTGCCTAATAGCAATAATGCCTCAAGAAAGGCTACAGATGGAAATAATAAAAAAAAGTGAGTGGCATACTAAGATCAGTCCTTATAACTGGGACTTAAATGACCTTATAGAGCATAATTAAAGTTTGATTACTTGAATGCTAAGTTTAATAAAACATGTAAATATGAAGAGAAAGCAGTCTAAACTGAACTCCCAAATATTGTTGATATTAACAGTCAATGCAGTAATCATTTCATATTAAAGAAGTATTTTTTAATAGAGTTCTGAAGCAATTGGAAGTTAAGGAACTTTTGCAGCTACTGATAGTTTTGTATTTGTCTTATCTGCATAGTTTCTTAACAGGTTAAGTCCAACACATTATGTCAGAGGCACTGATACTCAATATCATTAATAATATACTAAGTCTAGATTGAAATAGTATGTAAGCCTTATGATTAGTCTTGAAATGCATCACATAATTAGGGGCCTTCTTCTGAGCCTACAATTGCACCAAATTATTTGTTATACCAAGATCAATTTCTAAACACAATCACTTGGACTGTGTAACTACTGTAACTTTTTTGTATAATGCATAAGAAATAAAATTATATTTTATTTTTATGTTTCAACTTGTCTGGTAAATTAAAGATTAGCCTTTAGGAATCTCGACTAAGTCATTCTGGGCCCTCTGTATTACATCAAGCCCATCTTGGAGTGTGTGGCACCAGTATGAAACCCACACCTGAAAAAGCATGTTGAAAGAACTGGAGAAAGTACAGAAGCATGGAACAAGGCTTATTCCAGAGCCAAGGGGCATGAGCTACGAGGGGAGACTAACAATTGGATTAAGCAACAGTGCAAGATAGAAGAACCATGGGAGCGACTCATGAAATTATAATAATACAGTTGCAAACAAATTACAGAACTGGTGGTGTTTGAACCTGTAATTTATAATCAGGGGAGATATGGTAAGGTGCAAAATACTTAGAGGAATTGATAGAGTAGACAGGGACACAGGAACACAACTGTAAGTTAAACACAAATGAGTCACAGGGATGTCAGAAAGTATTTCTTCAGACTCAGTGGTTGAGAAGTGAAATGATCTCAAAGAAGTAGCAGAGGCTTTCTCCATACATAGTTTTAAAGAGCAGTTATGATAGGGCCCATGAGGCTAGGAAGGAGTAAATTTGGAAATCTGAACATTGTGGACCAGGACCAGGAGCTAGGACTTGACCTATGCAATCATATATAGGCAAATGCAGACACAGAAAGAGAAGCTGAGCCTGTCCCCGTATGTACAACTCACTGGGTACACAGAGTAAACCTTCTCAACCTTGAGATACATTCCTAAAAATTAGTACCTTGTGCAAATTAAGGTTATGTGAAATGAAGGAAATGTGGAAAATAGTTACAGTTCAGACACTTCCAAATTTGCAAGTAATTTTTTATATTCTACAGGTAAAAACTCTATAATAAAACATGCCTAATGTCCTGTTAGTTGTTACTTAACCCTTTCAGGGTCCGTACCATAGATCTACGGCTTTACGTTCAGGGTCCAAACCTTAGATCTAAGCCATGAGCTCAACTCACTCTAATAAGCTGTGAGCAGTAAATTTGGGCCTAGATATGACAGAATACATCTGTGTGGTATGTGTGCACCACATAAAACAAATCCTGCAGCACACAGTGCATAATGAGAGAAAAAAACTGAGACCGTAATTTTCTATTAAAACAGCCACTTTGCAGTGTTTTTTCGTATGTTTTTTATAGTTGTATTTGCAATTTCTTGGTCTCATTTGATAGAATGGAAGATATACTACAGAAATAGAGATGATTTTGATTGGTTTTAGTATTGGAAATGGCTTGAAACTGAGCTCAAAGTAGATGTTAAATTTTTGCCGATGTTTAAGAGTAAACAAATGACCTCAAAAGTCTAATACATGACAGCTGGTGGGTCTAATATACATTCACAAATGTGGTGATATTAGTTATACAGTTATTACAGTATTGCATAACAGTAAATCTTCTATTTTTTGGTTTGAATAAAAATTCATTTTGTGAATAAAAAATCAAAATGGAATTCATTTGTAAAGCCTGAAAACGTAACTAATGAACAGAGGAAATGTTAGTTTAGTGCCAGGAATGCCTGCATTGTTTATTCTGGACCCTATTTTGAAATTGGAATATTTTGAACTTTGCATTAAATTGGCCAAATTACCAATTTCCGGTCACTTTATTTTGTTGAAACAGTTGACTTGGCGATTTCTTGTGCTCAGTCGATAAAATAGAAGTAATACTAGTGAAATAACTAAGAATTTGGTTGACTGGAATACTGTAATTGCCCTAAAATGGGAGTCAAAGTCGGCAAAATCACCAATTCGTAAATATCGCTGACACATCAAAATTCGCGAGAGCATAATTTCGTCAGTTTTCCATCAAATTTCGTACTTTTTGTTTTATTACCTTCAGAAAAAGATTCTCCGCCATTTCATGAAAAAATAGCAATTATCTTTTTAAAATTCTTGGACCCTGGTGCACACTTTGAAATTTGGCCTCTGAACCCTGAAAGGGTTTAAACATTTGAAAAGTTTGAAGAGGCTTAATGTAGGCCTGCTAGGCCAAGTTGGTGTAGCTAGGTATATTTCCCTACACACTGTGCATATCAAAAACATAATACAAGCCACATTTCCTTTCCAAATTGTACCAACTATCAATGGGACAATACTAATAATTTGCAGGTACTGATGTACAGTTTTAGGCCAATACCAATACCACAAGAATTAGCCAATGCCTACTGATGCCCTAACAGATTACAGTGGTACCCAGAGTTCCGTACATAATTTGTTCCAGAAGGCTGTTCAAGTGCCTTTACTGAATGAATTTGTTCCCATAAGGAATAATGTAAATTAGATTAGTCCATTTCAGACACCTAAAAATACACTTAGGAAAGTACTACTTACAATAATACTTAAAAAATTGTTCGAGTTGGGAGCGGTACAAAACTCAAGATACCGCTGTATTTGATACTGACATTCAATTTTAGGCTGATACCAGTACCATCAGAATCAGCCGATACCACTGATATGGACATCTTGGCACATCCCTAGTACCAACCATATAGGAACTTGCCACAATTGTACCAAATAATATACACAAAATATTTATATTTGATAAAGCCAAAACAAAGAAAAATATTTATAAAAAATGTCAGAGGCATCATTTGCTAGGACCCTTAATGTATTTTCCTTTGGAGCCGTGTTGATTTTTAAAATCATTCTTGCTGTCAATCATTCTTGGAACTGTTAAACATTCACTCCTATATTGCTTTGTCTTTCATGTTATCTAACATGCTGTCATCAAAATTAGTACTCCTCTTTCAGATTACAGTGTTGTAGCCGTTGTACACAGACAAACTCCTACAAGAAGTGGTACCATGTGCGACAAGGCTGCCTTTATGTGGTTGACAGCCCCTACTTTGAGTGGATTGTCCTTATCCTAATTTTTGCCTCCTCAGTTACCCTTTGTTTTGAAGATGTTCATTTGGATTCTAAAACCGAACTTAAGGTAAAGAATCTGTGTGTTTGTCTAAGTTCAGTTAATGTATCGGAAAAGTAAAATAGAGACATCCGTAGTCATGATGCTTTAAGGCGAGCTTTTAATGTAAGAATTTCATAGGATGTCTATAGAGTATAGTTTTTTGTAGTTCAGAGAATTTTAATGTTGTAGCTAATGGTAGATAAAGTTGAAATATTGTACTAAATATTACGTTTATATGTTTTGTCGCACTTCAACAGGAGAGACGGGTATTTATTGATATTTTCTTCGTACCTTACACCTGCTTCTGAATGCTTCTCGTCTAATGCTGCTGTCTGTAACTTTAGCTTGGGGGCCTTTATGACCCTTCCATGACCTGTGTTGTTGACATGACCACAAGCTCACCACAGCATGGAGTGTATACCCTCATTATACACACATCTCTGCACACAACGCACAAAAACTAAACCTGATACGCACTCAACCCCTGTACTAAAATAACACATTTAAACAGTCAGTCCCCACTATTCCTGCCACTATACATATGGTAACACGCATACCTGTATGCCTTGTATATACAAATACATCATGCACATTCTTACACTTGTCCACACCAGTGCTGAAGAGAGACAAAGAACCTTGCATCAGTATTTTGTTGACCTGAAAATATATATTCATGTTATATTTTTATATATGGGCTGCTCCAGAACAATATATGCTGACACAGCTATACATCTTTCTTACCATATCAGTACAGTGTGTATGTATATGTTTGTTTATATATATATACACACAGTATGTATATATACTGTATATTGATATGTATTTGTTGCCAAACTTTCTGACTTTATTTAATTTGGCTAGCATTGTTTAGTCAAGCAAGCCAAAAGTCAAGCTTAAATTCTTCAGAGTAATAACTGATGAAAAAAGTACATATCACAAAATTGACACATTTCATTGATGTTGCATACAACCTTAGGCTGTGGAGGAGTAAGCTGTACTGAATTCTATGATATAAATTTAACAGTGGAATGTCACATTGCTAAGTGAGTTTTCATGCAAGATTAAAAATTTGCACAGAACATTAATTTCCTTGCATGTAAGAGTACAAAGGATTAAATGCACTAGTTTGGCTTGTTTGACCAACTTTATTTATCAGCCACGAAATTCAACCTAACTTCCCCCTAATAGATGATGGGTAATAAGATAGGCACATTTGTCATCTAGCATAAGAGATGGGAAAAATATTTAAAAACTACAAGAAGAGGAGAATTAAAAGCATAATTGAACAACCACTTTAAATATAAACAGTCAAGCACACTTCATGGCTGCTCCTAGCAAGCCTGGCCACTTTTCTACCCCCCACCTTCTTCCACCACAACCACAAGAAATTGGAAGAAAATAAAATAAAAAATCTTTTAATATTGATTAAAATAAGATATACAATACCTCAGTAATATAATGTTTTGAATTACTATACAAGACTACTTTGTGAATGGCTGCAAAAAATCACCGACTCCTATAGTGACCTGTTAGTGTAACCTCCATAATATTTAGTAATGATAAATTTGCCCAGTAAATTGCCTTCCTCATACCTGAGCTCCCATTTTTTGTCTGTATCACTCATTTCACAGACCCTATACACTTGATACAGCCTGATGAGGAACAGCTGACATGTGGGTGGGGTGGATACCATGGTTCTTGAAATCCTTCACAGAAAGTAGGTTTTCATACTTGATACCTGTATTTTATGTGATTGGGTTCTATGAACCACTTAAAGAAATCCTACCACCAGTACCCAAAATTATGAAAGCAGTAGCTGAATGTTTTGAAGCAGAAACTTTGAAGTGCCTTGCACTAAGGCACCTTTGTTTAAGGCATGTTTAAAAAAAAAAATTTAAAGCATTAATGAAGAGTCTTGTAGAAGGGATTGGCTTTAACACATCACCCTGTTAGCCTCAAGAATTCTGATACTTGCAATCATACTCGATTTAAAAAAAAAATCATTACAGGAAATCTCTTGTAATGAAACGTGGGACCCAGGAACCCAGTCATTCCTGTGGAGAACTAAGTGTTGGGAAGAGAACTATTTGGTCTAGTCTTTATTTAAAATTTCAAAATTTAAGTTTTTTCTCATGGTCCTTACAAAGATTATAGTAGACATAAATATTTTGATGCAGAATTTGATACAAAAGTAGGCACCAAAGAAAGCCACTATTATGCAGTGCAGTTCAGACAAACTAATCAGTAATAGGGCTTAAATACTAATTAAATCTAGACCTAGTATGGTATTTGAGACAACTTATGTAGTTCACTGCTGTCACAAGTATGTACAGTGAAATAGGTTGTGAATGACAAATGGTCAATTACAAAACAATTAGTACATCGTAGTATTTACATTGGTTCAGTGATATGCATTTTATGGAGTGATTGAAGAGGTGATGAATTAACAGCATGACAGTTTACAGTTAATGTATATTGCATTTATGTGAGATTTTTTAACTGGTTTTTAACAATATTAGTAAAAATGTTGGTAGACAGGGAAATTTTTTCATTTTCAGGCAGCGAGTTCTAAATTTTTGGGCTTTTATTTGGATGGAGTTTTTGAACAGGTTGAGACATACACATGGAATGTCAGTGATATTTGTTCCTTGTGTTGTCCATGTTTTATGTTGTAGCTCTACGCACAGAATTTAAGCTCTGGATTAATGTTTAAATTGAGTGTCCTGCAGACATAGCCTTCACAGTAGAAAGTGTGAATATTTTATATATTAAGCAAACTAAAACTTTTGATTAAGGGGGAGTGTGTGTGTGTGTTGCCTGGAGCCTGAATTATTGATTATTCTGAGCTTATTTTTGCTGAGTAACAACAGGTTTAAGGTGACTAGGTGTTGTTCATCCCCACACAGCTATCATAGGGGAAGTATAGGTAGATTAGAGAGTAATACAAAGTGAGTAGGATGTTTTGGGGACATCGTTATGTATTTTTGTGAGAATATCTTTTTTTTTTTTTTTTTCCCGAATATTTTGCAACACACACACTTCAGGATTTGGGGTTGTGACAGTGGAAGGGTTAATACAGTATTGTTTGCTGTCAGTAATAAGATAAAATGTAACAAGTTGATAATAATAAAAAAATTAAGAATTTTCTTTAGTGTAATGCAAAGAATTACGTGATTGGTTTATTTAACTTTCATTGTTGGGACCCTCAGTTAAGCACAAGAAACCTCCCATTCAACTATCAGAACTACTATTTACTGTGCACAAAAATGTGGGAAATTTAGCCACTTTTACAGAAAATTTAAAAAAAAACCAGTTTAACCCTTTGAGTGTTTTGGTCATATACAGTGGACCCCCGAGTTTCGGCAGCCTCGACTTTCGCGAAATTCGACCTTTGGCGTTTTTTTTTTTTTTTTTTTTTTTTTTTTTAAATTTGGCCTTGAGTTTCGTGAAAAAACTCGTGTTTCGGCAACCGTCCGGTACCCGTCCGCCCGTCAACACGCACACAAAGCCAGTCTCCCACCCCATTCACACTCAGTGTGCCATTGTTTACCAACACGTGACCATCACCCCGCGGGTTCATACAATACATTTCATAATAATCCATTGTTTTTTGTGCTTGCAACTGCTAAATAAGTCATCATGGACCCAAGGAAAGCTAGTGCAAGCCCTTTGGTAAATAAAGTGAGTGATGGGGATGTGGAAGACTTGGAGGACCACAGGGAAGAGCTAACCACTGACGAACTGCAAGAGCTTCAACTGGAACAGCATCAGACCACAGCCGAGGAACTTGCTTCAGAGGAGGAGGGAGAGGGAGTGAATGAGGTGCCTTCTTCAGTGATTAAGGACATGTGTGGAATGTAAAATGAGTTGCAAAGTTTTGTTGAAAAGTATCACTCTGACCAAGCTGAAACAAGCCGTATCTGCAACATGTGCAATGACAGTGTTGTGTCCCACTTCAGGGAAATCAGAAATGCCAGAAAAAGACCTCTGGATAGATATTTTGTGCGCCAGGAGTCCAGTTGTTCCCAGTGGCATTAAAAGAAGGAAAGTAACCCCAGATAAGGACTTGCTACCTAAAGTCCTAATGGAAGGAGATTCTCCTTCCAAACAATAGTGTACACCTTCCTCCTATCATCATCTCCCATCTTCCATTCACCCAGAAGTCTTCAGTAAAGGTAAGTGTAATGTTACTATTATTTATTTTAAATGCATGTACTTGATTTCTGATTGTTTTCATTATGTAAATCTTTATTTAATTTGAAAAAAAAAAAAATTTATTTTAATATTTTTGGGTGTCTGGAACGGATTAATTTTATTTGCATTATTTCTTATGGGGAAAATAGTTTTGAGTTTCGTGAATTTCGACCTTTGGCAGGCTCTCTGGAATGGATTAATCACGAAACTCGGGGAGGGGAGGGTCCACTGTATACACGTCTTACGAGCTACTGTTTGTGACATACATTTGCTCATAAATTCTAGCGGCTTCAAATCATTCAGGAGAAAGCTGGTAGGCCCACATGTGAGAGAATAGGTCTTTGTGGTCAATGTGCACCATATAAAAAAAAATCCTGCAGCACGCAGTGCATAATGAGAAAGAAAGACTCCGACCGTTTTTTTTTTTTTTTTTTTTTTTTTTTTTTTTTTTTTTTTTTTAAATTGCCGACTTTGTGGTCTATTTTTGTATAGTATTTATGGTTGTATTCTCGTTTTCTTGGTTTCATTTGATAGTGTAAAACATATTATAAAAATTGAGGTGATTTTGATTGATTTTACTATGAAAAGAACCTTGAAATGGAGCTCAAATTAGGGAAAATGTTTGATTTTTGCTGATGTTCAAAAGTAAACAAATGTCATTTTCCAATAAATGTCGAAGTAGCCATTCTAATATGCGGTCATGAATGGGTTGACAATATTTGTACAATTATTATAATATTGCAGTAGTCTGCATAACAGTAAATCTTCTATATTTTGTTAGAATAAATATTCAAAATAGAAAGCAGGAGTAATATCAGAGGGGCCTGGAGATG